CAAAATAGTGCTTATGCATCCTCATAACTAGGGTGATGATTGGCAACCACTATCCACCTTTTTCACTTATGCCTGGCCATATTTTCATGTGGAAGCACTAAGTCAGTAGAATAGGAGGCATTCATGTTTGATCCAAGAAAAAAGGAGCCTCTATTTCCTTAGATTAAAAGCACTTCACCAGCATCACAGAATCCTCCTTTGAAGGGATACCTGGGCATAGATTATTATATTCACAAGGAAACACTTTATTATTATATTCATAGGGGCAAGCTAAACCTATAGGGGTTATACAGCACCTGGGTTAATGGGAGGCATTCAGGTTTGATTCAAGGAATTGGAGTGCAGGTCCAATTCCTTAGATCAAGAGCCCCTCACCAGCATCAAGGAACCATCCTACAGTGCTAGTCACTGCAATATGCCACCCCTCCCCCACACACGTACCAAAACACAAACACATACCACATACATTTTTTTTTTTCCCAACAAGTAGGCCGTCTCCCACCGAGGCAGGGTGACCCAAAAAGAAAGAAAATCCCCAAAAAGAAAATACCTTCATCATCATTCAACACTTTCACCTCACTCACACATAATCACTGTTTTTGCAGAGGTGCCCAGAATACAACAGTTTAGAAGTATATACATATAAAAATACACAATATATCCCTCCAAACTGCCAATATCCAAGACTCCTCCTTTAGAGTGCGGGCATTGTACTTCCCATTTCCAGGACTCAAGTCCGGTTATATAAAAAACCGGTTTCCCTGAATCCCTTCATTAACCCTTTCAGGGTCCAAGGCCCAAATCTGGAGTCACGCACCAGTGTCCAAGAATTTTCATAAAAAAAATTTGTTATTTTTTCTTATGAAATCGTAGAGAATCTTTTTGTGAAGGTAATAAAACAAAAAGTACGAAATTTGGTGGAAAATTGACGAAATTATGCTCTCGCGAATTTTGATGTGTCAGCGATATTTACGAATCGGCGATTTTGCCGACTTTGACTCCCATTTTAGGCCAATTACATTATTCCAATCAACCAAATTCTTAGCTATTTCACTAGTATTACTTCTATTCTATCGATTGAGCACAAGAAATCGCCAAGTCAACTGTTTCAACTACAAAATAAAGTGATCGGAAATTGTTAATTTGGCCAATTTAACACAAAGTTCAAAATATTCCAATTTCAAAATAGGGTCCAGAATGAACAATGTAGGCATTCCTGGCACTAAACTAACATTTCCTCTGTTCATTAGTTATGTTTTGAGGCTTTACAAATAAATTCCATTTTGATTTTTTATTCACATAATGAATTTTTATTCACACCAAAAAATAGAAGATTTACTGTTATGCAATACTGTAATAATTGTATAAATATCATCACCATATTTGTGAATGTATATTAGACCCACCAGCTGACGTGTATTAGACGTGTGAGGTCGTTTGTTTTACTCTTGAATATCGGCAAAAAATTTAACATTTCTGCTACTTTGAGCTCAGTTTCAAGCCATTTCAGTGCTAAAACCAATCAAAATCATCTCTATTTCTGTAATATGTCTTCCATTCTATCAAATGAGACCAAGAAATCGCAAATACAACTATAAAAAACATACGAAAAAACACTGCAAAGTTGCTGTTTTAATCGAAAAATCATGATTTCATTTTTTTTCTCTCATTATACACAGTGTGCTGCAGGATCTGTTTTATGTGGTGCACACATACCACATAGATGTATTCTCTCATATCTAGGCCCAAATGTACCACTCACAGTTTATCAGAGTGAGCTGAGCTCATGGCGTAGATCTACGGTTTGGACCCTGAACGTAAAGCCGTAGATCTACGGGACGGACCCTGAAAGGGTTAAATATTACCCTATTCACACTCCAACAGCTCGTCAGGTCCCAAATACCATTCGTCTCCATTCACTCCTACCCAACATGCTCACACATGCTTGCTGGAAGTCCAAACTCTTTACCCACAACACCACCTTTACCCCCTCCCTCCAACCTTTTCGAGGAAGACCCCTACCCCGCCTTCCTTCCCCTACAGATTTATACGCTCTCCATGTCACTCTACTTTGATCCATTCTCTCTAAATGACCAAACCACCTCGACAAACCCTCTTCAGCCCTGACTAATACTTTTATTAACTCCACACCTTCTAATTTCCACACTGAATTTTCTGCATAATATTTACATCGCATATTGCTCTTAGATAGGACATCTCCACTGCCTCCAACCGCCTCCTCGTTGCAGCATTTACAACCCAAGCTTCACACCCATATACGAGTGTTGGTACTACTATACTTTCATACATTCCCTTCTTTGCCTCCATAGATAACGTTTTTTGACTCCACATATACCTCAATGCACCACTCACCTTTTTTCCCTCATCAATTCTATGATTAACCTCATCCTTCATAAATACATCCGCCGACACGTCAACTCCCAAATATCTTCCATAGCCCTCCTCCCCAATTTGGTATCCAGTTTTTCTTTATCTAAATCATTTGATATCCTCATCACTTTACTCTTTTCTGTGTTCACTTTCAACTTTCTACCTTTACACACACTCCCAAACTCATCCACTAACCTTTGCAATTTTTCTTTAGAATCTCCCATAAGCACAGTATCATCAGCAAAAAGTAACTGTGTCAATTTCCATTTTGTATTTGATTTCCCATAATTTAATTCCACCCCTCTCCTGAACATCCTAGCATTTACTTCTTTTACAACCCCATCTATATATTAAACAACCATGGTGACATTACACATCCCTGTCTAAGACCTACTTTTACCGGGAAGTAGTCTCCCTCTCTTCTACACACCCTAACCTGAGCCTCACTATCCTCATAAAAACTCTTTACAGCATTTAGTAACTTACCACCTATTCCATATACTTGCAACATCTGCCACATTGCTCCCCTATCCACTCTATCATATGCCTTTTCTAAATCCATAAATGCAATAAAAACTTCCCTACCTTTATCTAAATACTGTTCATATATGTGCTTCAATGTAAACACTTGATCTACACATCCCCTACCCACTCTAAAACCTCCTTGCTCATCCGCAGTTCTACATTCTGTCTTGCCTCTAATTCTTTCAACAATAACCCTATTGTACACTTTTCTTGGTATACTCAGTAAACTTATTCCTCTATAATTTTTACAATCTCTTTTGTCCCCCTTCCCTTTATATAAAGGGACTATACACGCTCTCCGCCAATCTCTAGGTACCTTCCCCTTTTTCATACATTAAACAAAAATACCAATCACTCCAACACTATGTCTCCCCCTGCTTTTAACATTTCTGTCATGATCCCATCAGTTCCGGCTGCTTTACCCCCTTTCATTCTACGTAATGCCTCACGCACCTCCCCCACACTCACATCCTGCTCTTCTTCACTCCTAAACGATGGTATACTTCCCTGGCCAGTGCATGAAATTACCGCCTCCCTTTCTTTGTCGACATTTAAAAGTTCCTCAAAATATTCTCGCCATCTACCCAAAACCTCCATCTCCCCATCTACTAACTCCCTTACTCTGTTTTTAACCGACAAATCCATTTGTTCCCTAGGCTTTCTTGTTTAACTCATTCCAAAATTTTTTGTTTTCATTAAAATTTCTTGACAGTACCTCTCCCACTCTATCATCCGCTCTCCTTTTGCACTCTCTCAGCACTCTCTTCACCTTTCTTTTACTCTCCATATACTCTACTCTTCTTGTAACACTTCTGCTTTGTAAATGCCTCTCATAAGCTACCTTTTTCTCTTTTATCACACCCTTTACTTCATCATTCCATCAATCACTCCTCTTTCCTCCTGCACCCACCCTCCTATAACCACAAACTTCTGCCCCACATTCTAATACTGCATTTTTAAAAGCATTCCAACCCTCTTCAATCCCCTCCACTACTCATACCTGCACCAGCCCACCTTTCTGCCAATAGTTACTTATATTTCAGCCAAATTTCCTCCTCCCTTAGTTTATACACTTTCACTTCCCTCTTACTTGTTGTTGCCATTTTCCTCTTATCCCATCTACCTCTTACTCTAACTGTTGCTACAACTAGATAATGATCCGATATATCAGTTGCCCCTCTATAAACGTGTACATCCTGGAGCCTACCCATCACCCTTTTATCCACCAATGCCTGCACTCTATAGGAGGGGTTCGAGATATTGGCAGTTTGGAGGGATATATTGTGTATTTTTATACGTATATATTTATACGTATATACCCTGCCTCGGTGGGAGATGGCCGACTTATTAAAAAAAAAAAATACTTCTAAACTGTTGTATTCTGGGCACCTCCGCAAAAACAGTGATTATGTGTGAGTGAGGTGAAAGCGTTGAATGATGATGAAAGTATTTTCTTCTTGGGTCACCATGCCTCGGTGGGAGACGGCCGACTTGTTGAAAAAAAAAAAATATATATATATAGATGTATATACATTACACTTGACTGCCCAAAGGCAGCTACTATTGGGAAGTTTTTCCAGTAGTTTATTGGGTAACAATATAAAAAGTATAAATCGCACACAAAGGTGTTAGCTTATCTTAGTCACTTTTTTTTTTTTTAACACACTAGCCATGTCCCACTGAGGCAGGGTGACCCAAAAAGGAAAGAAACACTTTCACTATCATTCACACATAATCGCTGTCTTTGCAATAAAATAAATAATATAATCAAGGGGGAAGCGCTAAACCCGAGGGATTATACAGCGCCTGGGGGGGGGGATGTGGAAGGCATTCAGGCTTAATTCGGGGAACTGGAGCACAGATCCAATTCCCTAAATCAAGAGCCCCTCACCAACATCAAGGAACCTTCCTTGAGGGGTCTGTCTTTGCAGAGATGCCCAGATATGGCAGGTAAAATGTCACTCCAAACAGCCAATATCTCCTTTTTCAAGCAAAATTGTTGGCATCAAGTACATTCAAGCCTCCTTAATCTACTTCTTGTGTATACTCTTCAATTTTCTTGTAACAGGATGAAAATATGGAAATTAATTTTTTAAATTCAGATTTTATTCACACAATTTCTGATAGTTAATAGTAGGAATGACAATAAAATTAGGACAAGAGAAAAAGAGACAATATACTATTAAGAGACAAATGCATCAAATGATATAGGCTAATGGTCAATATAAAAATATTCCATTAACAATTTAAGAAACTATAACAAAGAGGGCAAGAAAAGACAAATGTTTAGAGAAGCTCATCAAAAATGGAAGAAGCAATGTATGTAAAGTTAAAAACACAAAACAGACTATTCACACTGACAAAACATGAAACTTTAAATCAGAAGGAACCACTTATACTCATGCAAAAACTAATCCAACATCCACCAAAGTTCATCAGTAATGTCTGAAGCATTGCTAGTCTTGTAGCAACACAATTACCACTGAACAATGTATCACAAAGATCTGAGAGGCATTCTTTTATGCAAAGAACTGCATCATACAACCAGATGTATTTTGCAAACAAGTGCCAAATACACACACTGGTATCATAGCTTGGTAATAACAATATTCACTCTTATTTGTGTAATTTTTGGCCTCGGTTCATTTTAACCACTCTCAATACTGCACTAGTTCATCTGTTTTTAATAAGATAAAAAAAAAAGCTATTTTTGCAAATTAGTTCTAATGTAATGCTGCAATCTTTGAGTCAAACTAATGCAGTGAATATTACTGAATACATATGAGCTTGCTTACACAGTGATGATACACCATCATCCACATAATGCATCTACCTTCATTATGTGTGTTTTATTACCATTATTATTATCATGAAACACTTAAAAAATCTGATGCCAGTTATCACAAACTTTTATAAATATTTTCAAGTATTAAACATCATATTAACATCTGGCACAAAGCCAATAAAACAAATAATCTAACAGTACCTCCCCTCAAAAAAGAAGCCACCGGTAGAACATATTAAGAGAGACGGATTCTTTGTTAATTTACATTCATTTACATAAAACAAAACAAAAAAAGTACAAGTAAATTAATGTTGGCTGTGAAAAACTACTGAATTACTTTTCTTAGCAAATCCATCAACATTTCAAAAGTAGAATTAGGGATAACTAGTTAGGTGTGTTCAATGACTGACTCATCAATTAAAATTTTAATGCACTTTCCATAGTCTACACTTGAATTTTTATTTTCATCCACACTTGAACATAACAATGCACTTATTCTATTATTGAAAGTTTGTCAATTTTCCTCATACATATCTTAATTTAAGAGAAAGACAAAACATATATTGCATATATGGCATAGAAGAGCACTTTCTTAGTACAGAAATTAAAAATGTCTTGCAAGTGTTTCAATCTCTAACTGGTTACTTTTAAATTTACTTTTAATTTTGCCCTAAAAGTAATCTACAGGACAAAAATTCATCTAATAGCTATCTGAGGCAGATTATTACTAGTATTGAGAAACATATGGACAGTGCATTAAACAGTCTGTATCTAATTTTCTAATTTATCTTTTAATAGTACGTATTACAAAACTGCATCAACATTTGATACACACATTTAATTTTATTAGTTTTTGTAATCTATACAACAGTGATCTCGGTAGCAAAATCTAAGGTGTCTAAGTAACCTTTCACTATTTACAGACTTAAGTTTTCTAAGATAAGAATCTCATTCTAATTCTGCAAAAAACATATATGCACACAAAGAATATCTATGTAAAAACATTATTCAAATGCATGACTGTAAAAAGATTAAACAAAGAACTGCTCCATAAATATTGAAAACTTTGAACAAATCAATTTCCTCTATTAACTAACTGAAATTAAAGGACCTCACTCTATTGCTTACAAAACAAACCCTTCGGTAGAAAGGATCAGTTCCAAGATCAGTATAGATGTATTTATAGCTATGATACAAAAATTTAAGGTGCATATATAATGTATATGTATGAATATACAAACACATTCTGACTCTCACACCCTTTCTGACAAAAAGCACACACACAAACACACATACTTTCAAATACATATTTTCACATCTGCTTAACACACAGGTGAAAGTTTGTGTATCTGCCTCTCCACAAGAGAATTAAGTTAAGCACCTAAGAGCCCTACAATAACACAACATTAGTCCAGCTCCTCTGCTGCCATGGGTTGTGAGGAAGATGGGCCACCCATTGTTACTTCATCTTCAGAATCATCATCTCCAAGACCTCCTCCAAGCAGCCCCTGAAGCAAATTCCCTAGAAAGACAGGAGCATATTTAAATCTTAAAACTATCTATGAACTTGTATATTTAGTTTAAAATACAGTAGGACCCCTGTATCCGCAGGGGATACGTTCCAAGGACCTGTCATGGATACTGAAACTGTGGATAGTAGCAAATCCTATATATAAGTTCTATACATACTTATTATAAAATTTAATTAATACATTATGCACAATAAGTAGAGAATTATCACTTTTTCACTGATGGGAAGCACTTTACGGCTTCTCTAAGGCTTGAAGAATTGTTAGCTTTTCTACTTTTGTGCTTTGGGGCCATTATTATACACAAGAACACAACACACAAGAAAGGAGGAACACTGCAGGAGGCCCGTTGGCCCATACTAGGCAGGTCCTTTACAATTCATCCCACTAACAAAACATTTGCCCAACCCAATTTTCAATGCCACCCAAGAAATAAGCTCTGATGTGAAAGTCCCACTCAAATTCAACCCCTCCCACTCATGTACTTATCCAACCTAAATTTGAAACTACCCAAAGTCCCAGCCTCAATAACCCAACTAGGTAGACTGTTCCACTCATCAACTACCCTATTTCCAAACCAATACTTTCCTATGTCCTTTCTAAATCTAAACTTATCTAATTTAAATCCATTACTGCGGGTTCTCTCTTGGAGAGACATCCTCAAGACCTTATTAATATCCATTTTATTAATACCTATCTTCCACTTATACACTTCGATCAGATCTCCCCTCATTCTTCGTCTAACAAGTGAATGTAACTTAAGAGTCTTCAATCTTTCTTCATAAGGAAGATTTCTAATGCTATGTATTAATTTAGTCATCCTACACTGAATGTTTTCTAACGAATTTATGTCCATTCTGTAATATGGAGACCAGAACTGAGCTGCATAATCTAGGTGAGGCCTTACTAATGAGGTATAAAGCTGCAGTATGACCTCTGGACTTCTGTTGCTTACACTTCTTGATATAAATCCCAGTAATCTATTTGCCTTATTACGTACGCTTAGGCATTGCTGTCTTGGTTTAAGGTTGCTGCTCACCATAACCCCAAGTCCTTTTCGCAATCTGTATGGCTAAGTTCTACATCATTTAACTTATAAGTACTAGGGTTATGGGCACTCCCAAGCTTCAGAACCTTGCATTTATCTACATTGAACTGCATCTGCCACTTTTCTGACCAAGAATAGAGTTTGTTTAAATCCTCCTGAAGTTCCATAACAGCTACGTTTGAATCAATTATCCTACCTATCTTTGTGTCATCGGCGAATTTGCTCATATCACTAGTAATTCCCTCATCAAGATCATTGATATATATTATAAACAACAACGGGCCCAAGACTGATCCCTGTGGAACCCCACTTGTTACAGATCCCCACTCGGATTTAACCCCATTTATGGACACTCTCTGCTTCCTGTCAGTGAGCCATGACTCGATCCACGAGGCACTTTTCCCCCAATCCCATGAGCTGCCACTTTCTTTAAACAGTCTATGGTGCAGAACTCTATCAAAAGCCTTACTAAAATCTAAGTAAAAATATCAAATTCTTTATCGTGGTCAACAGCCTCAAAAGCTTTACTGAAGAAAGTTAATAAATTAGTTAGACAAGACCGGCCTCTTGTGAATCCAGCTGAGTATCATTAATCAAGCTATGCTTATCGAGATGGCTTCTTATAATCTCAGCTATAATTGACTCTAGTAATTTGCTACAATTGAGGTCAGGCTTATTGGGCAGTAATTTGACGGTAACGACTTGTCCCTGTTTTAAAAATAGGAATTACATTAGCCATCTTCCACATATCAGACACTACACCTGTTTGAAGAGATAAATTAAAAATATTAGTTAATGGTTCAAGAGTTCCATTTTGCATTCCTTAAGAACCCTTGAAAAAACCTCATCAGGACCCGGCGACTTATTTTGCTTCAGTCTGTCTATCTGCTTCACAACCATTTCACTAGTGACTGTCATGTTACATAATTTATCTTCTTCTAGCCCACTATAAAAATTAATTACTGGAATATTGTTAGTGTCTTCCTGTGTAAAAACTGAGAGAAAATAATTATTAAAAATCGAGCACATTTCATTCTCTTTGTCAGTAAGGTGCCCATAGTTATTTTTAAGGGGACCTATCTTATCTCTAACTTTTGTTCTATAGACCTGGAAAAAACTTTTTGGGTTAGTTTTAGAATCCCTAGCAACTTTAATTTCATAGTCCCTTTTAGCTTTTCTTATCCCTTTTTAATGTCCCTCTTAATGTCAATATACTGATTCATAAGATGACCCTCACCTCTTTTGATATGCCTATAAATTCCTTTCTTATGCCCTAGTAGATATTTGAGCCTATTATTCATCCATTTTGGGTCATTTCTATTTGATCTAATTTCTTTATATGGGATAAACGTTCTTTGAGCAGCATGTATAGTGTTCAGAAAACTGTCATATTGATAGCTCACTTTGTTACACCAGTCAACAGATGATAAGTGTTCTCTAAGCCCATCGTAATCTGCTAAGCGAAAATCTGGGACTGTTACTGAGTTATCGCTACTATCGTACTTCCATTCAATGCTAAATGTAATTGATTTGTGGTCGCTAGCACCCAGTTCCTCTGAAATTTCTAAATAATTAACAAGGGATTCATTGTTTGCCAAAACTAAGTCAAGCAGGTTATTTCCCCTTGTAGGTTCTGTCACAAACTGCTTCAAAAAACAATCCTGAACTACTAAGAAGTCGTATGATTCTAAATTCCCAGTCAAGAAATTCCAATCAATATGACTAAAGTTAAAGTCTCCTAGAATTACTACTTTATCGTGCCTTGTGGCCTTAACAATTTCCTCCCATAGTAGTCTCCCTTGGTCCCTATCTAAGTTTGGGGGACGGTATATCATTCCTAAAATCAGTTTTTCATGCCCCTCTGAAAATTCTATCCAAACAGACTCTGTATGTGTTACTTCAGATTTAATACCCGTTTTTATGCAACAGTTCAAGCGATCTCGGACATACAATGCCACCCCACCCCCCTTCCCGATACTTCTATCTACTTGGAACAATTTAAAACCCTGAATATGACATTCCGCAGGCATGTCCCGACTTTTTGAATTAAACCACGTCTCAGTTAAGGCAAATATATCAATGTTACCTGCACTAGCAACTAATCTCAACTCATCCATCTTATTCCTAGCACTATGGCAATTAGCATAATAAACATTGAAAGACTCTCCTTTCTCTTTACCCTTCCTGCTCATTTCTGTTTTTCTACTAAACCTATTACTGTCCTTATCACCCAAAGTCCCTGGCTATTCAATATCTACCTCGTTCTGCTTATTACTAGTTCCCCTAGAACTCATAATATTACTACACTGGGACTTCACTGTTTTCCTGCCAAAACCCATACCACTAACTATTCCTAGTTTAAAGTCCTAACTGCTCCCTCCACTGCAGTTGCCAGTGCTACCCACCCCAGACCTAGATAGTGAACCCCATCCCTGGCATACATGTCATTTCTGCCATAGAAGAGGTCCCAGTTGTCAATGAATGTTACCGCATTTTCCTTACAGTATTTGTCCAGCCAGCAATTGACACCAATTGCCCTGGACAACCATTCATTTCCAACTCCTCTCCTTGGCAAAATACCACATATGACAGGGTTCCCACCCTTACTCCTAATTATTTCTATTGCTGACCTATACCTGCTAATCAGGTCTTCACTCCTACGTCTGCCAACATCGTTGCCTCCAGCACTGAGACAGATAATAGGATTGCTCCCATTACCTCTCATGATGTCATCCAGACGGCTAACAATATCCTCCATCCCAGCCCCAGGAAAGCAAACTCTCCGTCTCCTACTCCTGTCCTTCAAGCAGAACGCCCTATCCATATACCTAACTTGGCTATCCCCAACAACAACAATATTCTTACCTTCCTTGGTGTCGTTCGTCGTGATGTTCCCAGTAAATAACAAAAAGGCACAATACCGTGACTGGAACGATACACAAATAACCCGCACATAAAAGACAGAAGCTTACGACGACGTTTCGGTCCAACTTGGACCATTGACAAAGTCACACTGTGTGACTTTGTCAATGGTCCAAGTCGGACCGAAACGTCGTCGTAAGCTTCTGTCTTTTATGTGCGGGTTATTTGTGTAATGTTCCCAGTAGTCGACTCACATTCGTCGGGTAGCACTGAGAATGTATTAGATGTTTCCACAACAGTTTCCACGGCAGTCTCTTTCTTCTTCATCGTTTCTACCTTTCCATTCGTCTTCTTGATCGTCAACTTCGTTCCCTGCTGTCCAGCCACTGACCAGTTTCCCTTCTTGACCTGAGGACTCAAAACAGGAGGACTACTACGAATCTTCTTGTTTTCCTCGGTCAGTCGCCGAATCTCCAACTTCGCCATCTTCAATTCTTCCTTAAGCTGTTGGAAAAGTTGCTCGATGGAGGGCATCTTGCTTCAATTCGTAGAGAGCGCGCAAACAGGTCTTCACAGAGCTAAGTACACGTCAAAATTAAGAGGTACTTTTGGGCCACAGTAAACCATGGATAACTGAAACTGCAGATACCGAATCAGTGAATACAGGGGTTCTATTGTATATAAATATACAAATTATACCGGTAATTGTTTTTAACATGCCAGCCATCTCCCACCAAGGTAGGGTAACTTAAAAAAGAATAAAAACTTTCACCATAATTCACTCAAGTGAAGGCAAATGATTTTCATGCCTTGACAAGTCAATTGAGTGTGAGCATGATAACATTTATGAAGAAATTCAGGGAAACAGGTTAGTCAGACTCAAGTCCTGGAGGTGGGAAGTACAGTTCCTGCACCCTGAAGGAGGGGTAGAGATGTCTCTGGAAAGATAGTGAAAGCATTTCTTCTTCAGATCACCCTGCCTCAGTGGGAGACAACTGGAGATAAAAAAAAAAGGGGGGGGGGGGTTGCCAAACCTATAGGGGTCATACAGTGATTAGGGGAATGGATGGCAATCAAGTTCGATTCAGTCAGTTATACCTCATACAGTGGAACCTCAAATATCGAACTTAATCCGTTCCAGGAGTTAGTTCTAAATCTGAAAAGTGAAGCAATATTTCCCATAAGAAGTAATGGAAATAAAATTAATCTGTTCCGGAAACCCAAAAATATTCACAAAAAAAAAAATACATTTTATAGAGATTAATTATAGTTTTAAATACACACAACAAATATAGTGTTCAATTAGGTATTAATAAATTCAAATAAACATATAAAATAACATTTTATTTATCTTTATTGAAGATTGGTGATGGTATCTAGAAGATAGGGAGGAGGAGAGAGGGAGTTGGGGTTAGTGTTTGGAAGGAGAATCCCCCTCCATAAGGACTTCGGGTATCAAAGCCCTCTCTGGGGTTACTTCCCTTCTGTCTTTTAATGCCACTAGGACCAGCTTGAGTGTCAATGGATCACTGTCTCACAAAATAACTGTCCACAGTCCTCTGTTTCTGGTGCCTCTTTAAGATTTCCCTAAAATGGGACATGGTTCTGTCACTGAACTTGTTGCAAAGATGGCTTGTTTCAGCTTGCTCAGGGTGGTACTTCTCCACAAACATTTGGACATCATTCCACTTCAACATCATTCCACTTCTGTATTATTTCCTTCTTCACATCTATGGTGTCTCTCACTTTCTTTACCACAGGGGTACCACTAGCAAGTTTCTTTGGGCCCATTGTAGCTTATTTCACAGTCCCACAAGCACTAAACACAGTGAAATAATCGTAAAATGTTTGAATGAGAGCGCAGGTTAGTGTTCACTCAAGCATCAACAAAATCAGACTGGCTCACGGCACCTGCATGCGGACGCAGACAGAGCGGGCTGCTGGACAGGTCCGGTACCTGGCGGTTTGAAAAGAGGGACGAGTTCGATAATAGGGACAAAGTTGGTTTGAAAAGAGGGTTCTATTTTCGAAGAGTTCGATAAGCGATACATTCGAAGTTTGAGGTTCCACTGTATGTATTTGGAAAGGGGGGGTACTTCATAAAGTGAAATAAAACACATCATCTAAAGCATGATATGAAACACCCAAGTCAAATTTTTTTAATTAAAGGGCCATCTCCCTCCCAGACACGGTTACTCAAAGTAGAAAACACTTTCTCTTTACTATTTAAGCATGTGACTAACCACAAAAAAAAAAAAAGGTAACAAAGTTCATTATAAATGCCTAACTGCATTAATCCTTACCAAATATATTTCCTGGCCCATGCTGGGGTCTAGGTGCTGGTAAATTGAAGAAAAGCTGTCCAATGCGATCCAAGTACTCTCGGTAAGTTGGATCTCTCTTTAAACTAGGCTGATACTGTTCACACAGAACTGTAAAGTAGGCCACCTTTCCACTGCAAAATAAAAATGACTGATTAAAGACAGGGAAAGCAGTTACCATAGTATTCTTTTTATTATTAGCACGTTGGCTGTTTCCCACCAAGGCAGGGTGGCTCAAAAAAGAAAAACTTTCATCATCATAATTCACTCCATCACTGTCTTGCCAGATGTGTGCCTAAACTACAGGTACAAAACTGCAACATTAACACCCCCTCCTTCAGAGTGCAGGCACTGTACTTCCCATCTCCAGAACCCAAGTCCAGCCTGCTGGTTTCCCTGAATCCCTTCATAAGTATTACTGTGCTTACACTCCGACAGCATGTCAAGTCCTAAAAACCATTTGTCTCCATTTGATCCTATCTAATACGCTTGCTGGAAGTCCAAGCCCCTTTCACACAAAACCTCCTTTGCCCCCTCCATCCAACCTTTCCTAGGCCGACCCCTACCCCGCCTTCCGTTCACTACAGATTTATACACTCTCCAAGACATTTTATTTCGTTCCATCTTCTCTACATGTTCGAACCACCTCAACAACCCCTCTTCAACCCTCTGGATAATAGTTTTGGTTAAGTCCACACCTCCTCCTATTTTCCAAACTACAGATTCTCTGTATTATATTCACACTACACATTGCCCTCAGACATGAAATCTCCACTGCCTCCAGCCTTCTCCTTGTTGCAACATTCACCATCTATGCTTCACACCCATGTAAGAGCATTGGGAAAACTATACTCTCACACATTCCCCTCTTTGCTTCCATGGATAATGTTCTTTCCACAGATTCCTCAGTGCACCACTCACTGTACTGTATAATTATTGGAAAAGGGGGTAATTTGACAAACATTTTTAAGTACAGTAAAAGCGAAGCAAGTGGCAGCAGACATGCCGATGAGTAATTACTTATTTGTAACGAGTTATCTGATTCTGTGAGGGTCGACCTTCAGTTCTTGGACCCACTCCTTAGCTTTTGATAAACAGACAATTTCAGTATCATGTTTAGTTTTGAACTCGTGTAGTCAGCACATCAAATGTAGTGCCTTCCAGTGCTTTACTATACTTTCTTAGATAAAATGCTTTCCAAAATCTCTGGTTCATTTTGGGTGTATAGTTTCCATTTGTTTCTTTATCCTGAATCCTCTCAAAGCATTTGTCTTTATCAATCATATATTCTAGAGCATTTTGTATGCTAAAATCATGTTTTCTCCAGTAAAGTGAGATCTAATTCATGCATACCTGTGACCAATTTTGAGGGTTCTCCACCCTTACAATCTACTCTTAAAGTCAAGTTTCCTCACTGATCGCCTGGTCAGCTAGGCTACTGCTAATAAGTGTCCCACACCCATCATAGCTTAACTGAACAGGCACATGGAAAAGGTAGTAGTTGGGTCATGTCTCTTAATTCTTGACTCAGCTCTGGCAGTCTAGAGACATACTGTACCTTGAGAGCCTTATCTAGTATTTGGCTAGGCAAAAATTCCACAGTGATAATGTTCAATAAAAAATTACTGTGCAGAGTTGTGGTACAAAGCATTTTGAAAGAGTCTTTGTTCAGGTTTCTGAAGACCATCTTTATTATTGCTATATGGTACATCTGTTACATCACTTGATGATTCAGACCAGACCTAAATTACAGTGGAAACTCTGTTTTCATATGCCCTAGATGGAGAAAATTCTCTTTAAAATGTAATTTTTTTTTTTAATATTTTTGGGTGTTTGGAATGGAGCCAATTAATCCATTCCAGACACCCAAAAATATTAACAAAAAATAATTTTATAGATAATATTCTCCAAGAATTTTCTCCAACTAGGGCATAGGAAAACCAAGGTTCCACAGTATAAAGAAAATATTACATAAAAAAAAAAAACTACAAACAAATACAGAGAAAACTAAAGATAAGTGTATAGTGACTATGTAGAAGTTTGCAAAATTTACAAACTTCAACTTAAGTCACTATCAGTAATCCTGCCAGAATGCAAAACAATGAACAAGCTTCCATTTTTACACAGTTAAATTTTCACATTATTATCTGTTTATTGAACCCTTTGAGGGTCAAGACCCCTGATCCTTAACTCACTCTCCAGGTCGGAAAAAACAATGATAGAGAATCTTTTCCTGATGGTAATGACACCAAAATTACGAAATTTGATGGAAAACTTATGAAATTACGCTCTTGTGAAATTAGAGATATCAGCGATATTTATGCATCGGTGATATTGCCCACTTTGAGCTCTATTTTCAGCCAAATATATTGTTCCAGTCGACTAAAATCATAGCTATTTCGCCAGAACTCCATTTGTTCTATCGATTGAATACAAGAAGCCGCCCATTTACTGATTTCAACTACCCAACAAAGTGGTCAGAATTTGGCAATTTGGCCAATTTCACACAAACTTCAAAAGATATCAATTTCAAAATTATTTTTTTTTTTATTATCACACTGGCCGATTCCCACCAAGGCAGGGTGGCCCGAAAAAAAAAAACTTTCACCATCATTCACTCCATCACTGTCTTGCCAGAAGGGTGCTTTACACTACAGTTTTTAAACTGCAACATTAACACCCCTCCTTCAGAGTGCAGGCACTGTACTTCCCATCTCCAGGACTCAAGTCCGGCCTGCCGGTTTCCCTGAATCCCTTCATAAATGTTACTTTGCTCACACTCCAACAGCACGTCAAGTATTAAAAACCATTTGTCTCCATTCACTCCTATCAAACACGCTCACGCATGCTGCTGGAAGTCCAAGCCCCTCGCACACAAAACCTCCTTTACCCCCTCCCTCCAACCCTTCCTAGGCCGACCCCTACCCCGCCTTCCTTCCACTACAGACTGATACACTCTTGAAGTCATTCTGTTTCGCTCCATTCTCTCTACATGTCCGAACCACCTCAACAACCCTTCCTCAGCCCTCTGGACAACAGTTTTGGTAATCCCGCACCTCCTCCTAACTTCCAAACTACGAATTCTCTGCATTATATTCACACCACACATTGCCCTCAGACATGACATCTCCACTGCCTCCAGCCTTCTCCTCGCTGCAACATTCATCACCCACGCTTCACACCCATATAAGAGCGTTGGTAAAACTATACTCTCATACATTCCCCTCTTTGCCTCTAAGGACAAAGTTCTTTGTCTCCACAGACTCCTAAGTGCACCACTCACTCTTTTTCCCTCATCAATTCTATGATTCACCTCATCTTTCATAGACCCATCCGCTGACACGTTCACTCCCAAATATCTGAATACGTTCACCTCCTCCATACTCTCTCCCTCCAATCTGATATTCAATCTTTCATCACCTAATCTTTTTTCAAAATAGGGTCCAGAATAAACAAGACATATTCCTGGCACTAAAATAGCATATTCTCTGTTCATTAGTCGTGTCTCCAGGCCCCTCTTGCTTTACATTTTGAATTTTTACTCTCACAAAAACAGAAGATTTACTGTTATGCAGACTACCACATTATTGTAAAAATGGTATAAATAATGTCAGTGCACTTGTGAAATAATATTAGACTCACCAGTTGATGTGTATTGGACGTGTGGCGTGATTTGTTTACTTTTGAACATTGGCAAAAATCAAACATTTCCACTATTTTGAGCTCAATTTCAAGGTACCTTTCATCATGAAACCAATCAAAATCATCTGTATTTCTGTAATATATCTTCCATTCTATCACACAAGACCAGGAAAATACCATATGAAAATACACTGCAAGGTTACTATTTTAAATAAAAAACACGGTAGTTTTCTCTCATTATGCACTGCGTGCTGCAGTATTTTTTACACTGCGCATACTGACCATGCAGACCCATTCTCTCACACGCAGGTCTACCAGCTTTCTCCTGCTCGATTTGAAGGAAATAGAATTTTGGTATATAAGTACGGTACTGACCCTGGCTCTCAAGTCATACATGTACGGTACCAACACGGAAAGGGTTAACCCTTTCACTGATGACAGCCCTTATCACAATCCTGCTCTCAGTGTCAAAAAATGTATATACATTGGAACCTCGGCTTACGAATTTAATCCATTCTGTGACCGTATTCGTATCCTGATTTGTTCGTATGCTGAGTCAATTTTCCTCATTTAAATTAAATGAAATGCAATTAATCCGTTCCAGCCTCTCAAGAAGCATGACAAAATAATTCTAATATCAACTCTACGGCTTAGTTATCTATCACAATTCATCTAATATGACATAACAAACAATATTAATAACATAGAAACATGATACATACTCTAGAATGAAAAAAATAGGACATAATATGGCAAGTGATGCCGACGCCGGCAGCGGCAGAAAGCATCCACCGTTTACTCTCCCACTCTAGTATCTTCCAAGTCTATAACCCCACACCTAGCTTTGTGTTTATCTATGATTAGTGGTGATGTTCTTACATATGTAACCACAGGTGTGGTCAAGACAGATGTATATATAGGTGAAGACGTGATAACTGTGGCCACAGTGGTAATGGTGGTGGCGCCGGCAGCGGCCACAGTGGCTGTCAGGGGTGAACTGAGGCTTGCTTTTATGCTTCAAGGGAAATTATTATTATTATTATTATTATTATTTATTATTATTATTATTACTTCTTTTCTTCTTCTTCTCTTCTTTTCTTCTTCTTCTCCTCCTCCTCTTCTTTTCTTCTTCTTCTTCTTCTCCTCCTCCTCTTCTTCTTTTCTTCTTCTTCTTTTCTTCTTCTTTTCTTCTTCTTCTCTTCATCTTTTCTTCTTCTCTTTTTCTTCTTCACTTCTTCTTTTCTTCTTCTTCTTCTTCTCTTCTTTTCTTCTTCTTTTCTTCTTCTTCTTCTTCTTTACTTCCACATATCCAAAACATTGCAGGTGTAAATGTCCACCTGTCAGTGTGTTTGTGACAATTTGAGTACAATTTCAGTACCTATTACTAGTGTCAGAACAAAGATTGGTTATGAAATTACAAGAACTACGATAAATTGTAATTATCAGAACATAAAAATTATATAAAATAACATGAAAAAATAGAAAAGGTATATTGGCAACATTTCTGCAAGCAGCAGGACTCGATGTTGCTGTCATGTGAGCATCCAGTGCCAACTTCTCAGCCTCATATCTCTGTAAGTACTGACCCTAATTTTTTTTTATCCTATAACACTTAGAAAAATGTGCTCTTTATTTTCATTAAAAAAAAAAAAAAAAAAAAAAGTTTTTTTATTTTTCAAAATATTTGGGGCACTGGGGTAGTGAACGTATATATACGTTTGGACCGGTTACGGGTTTCTGCGATCACTAGTTATCAAGATACAGAGGCATGAAGTTGACAGAAAGTGAACCGCTTGCGGCAACATCAGCGACTGCCTCTCAATCAGTAATATTGTTTTTACTTTTATTCTATTTTTTCTTTTCTTTTCTAATATTTATTTTTTCAAGTAGCTTTTGTGACCTGTGAGACCAATATAATGCATAATGTATATACATGTATATCCGCTCACTGTATGTAACACAATAACTGCACAAACATCATTATAATGTTTACATAACTTGTTTACACAAACCCATGCTGCCTTCCACACCCATACCATCCCCCACCCCCACCCATGCTGCTTTCCCCAACACTCACACTGTCTTCCCCACCACCCATGCTGGAAATAAGTCACTTTAACTTTTCTGGGATATCCTAGGTTCTTTACACAGGCTGCAATGTATGATAATCTATGTAACTGTATTTGTGTATACCTGAATAAACTTACTTACACACCATCTTCCCAGCCACCAACACCAACTCACCCACCATCCAAGCTGCCTTCCCCACCATCCAAACTGCCTTCCCCACCATCCAAGATGCATTTCCCAACACCCAAGCTGCCTTTCCTTTGCACTATCTGTATCTGGTATCCTGAGCATTGCTTTTGGTCACAAACTCCTCAAAACCATGAAATTCATCTTCACTGACACTTAAATCTGTGTTAGAACTATCACTTGGGAAGAGAAGAGTCCCAAATTCACCAGGGAGTGAGATAATTCTTACTGCAAGGCATGGTATACAAGGACTACTGAAATGATGCTCCCACAATGAAATGTGGGTGCCCCGATTTTTTTTATACTGGCATACTGACCCAGCAGACCCATTCTCTCACATGTAGACAAGCTTTCTCCCACTAGATCTGAAGCTGCTAGAATTCTGTCATAGTACGTACTATGGCACCAACAGTGAAAGGGTTAATGCGTATGGTTCAAAAACCCACCTTTCAATAGTTGAAAGAAGTAGCCAAAGAAAGTTCAGAAGAGGCAGGAGGAAAGGTGGTCCACGCTGCTTAGTGATATTTGGATGTTTCTTGGTATAAGTCTCAAATACCTCTGATGCTGCCACCTTTTTCTGTAGACATAAGTACCTGCAATACAAGGAAACTACAGTTTTGTGGCTCTGCTTTTAAAATATTATATAAAATACAGTACCAGATAAGAGTGAATGGAGATGAGTGGTTTTTAACGAACATGTTGTTGGTGTGAGAGTAAGGTAACATTTCTAAAGGGCTTAGGGAAACTGGCTAGTCGAATTTGAGTCCTAAAGGTGGGAAGGGCAGTGCCTGCACTCTGAAGGAGGGTTGGGGATATTGTAATCAGAAGGTGATCTGATTACAATATCCCCAATGTCACCTCACTTCTGGCAAGACAGAAATCAAATGAATGATGGTGGATGTTTCCCTCTTTGGGTCACCCTGCCTTGTTCGGAGATGGCCATTAAGGAAAAAGAAATACAGTGGAACCCCGGTTATCGGCCATAATCCGTTCCAGAAGGTCAGTCTAAATCTGAAAAGGCCAAAAACAGACGTAATATTTCCCGTAAGAATTAATGTAAATACAATTAATCTGTTCCAGACACCCAAAAATATTAACAAGAAATATATTTTTTAAAGATTAATTATAGTTTTACATACAGAAAACAATGAGGAAATAAATATAAAGCACAAAATTTAATGATAAATGAACACTACATAAATTTATTGAAAAGACTTGCTGGGGTATTGAAGAAGGCAAGGAGGGGAGAGGGAGTTGGGAATCCATAAGGACTTCAGGTATCTAAATCCTCTCTAGGGTTACTTCCTTTCTTTGTCATTTACTGCCACAGTACATTCATTATTTACCTTAAAATATTTGTACATAGTCTTAATATTGGGCAAGAGGTGAGCAGTATTTATTTGTAGGAAGGCAGTGTAGGCAGTGGTAGATGTAGGTACACATATGTAGCCCCCCTGGGCTACACTACACAGCCATATTATTACCATGTTCACTGAGCTTAATCGTTTCTAACAACTACCCTTAGATGCCATCATAAACAAAGGGAGAAGTAATGAATAATTCATGCCGAGAATTGTAAACAAACATGTATGAAGGGCAGTGACTGCACCAGACACCAGATTCACAGTTTTCTCTAACTCTGAACCAGAGAAAAAATAACATTTACTTTCCACCTGATTCACCACCCGATAACACTGCATGTTTATATGCTATGTTTATATGCTATATGCTATGTAACGTGTTTCTTATATAAATTTGAAGAAAATATCATAGATTAATGAAAATGTCACCCTGCCTTGGTGGGAGACGGCCGACTTGTTGAAAAAAAAAAAAAAAAAAGTCTATATTAACCTAAAATAAGACATTTAATGTGCCCAAGAGTGATTATTATTAAACATACATCGCATATAAACATTGCATGTTTTTATATACTATGTAACGTATTTCTGTGGGCCCATGGTGGCTTATTTTGCAGTCACACTCAAACTACCACAAAAACAATGGATTATAATGAAATGTTTGGATGAATGCGCGGAATGTTGCTCACTCACTCAGACACACAGCCAGACTGACTCATGAACGCAGTCGGGTGGACACATCCAATATGGCTGATTTCTGAGTTGCCGGCTGAAATCTAAGAGAGAATTTCGGCCAAAAAAGAGGCCGAAATCCGATTTGGCCGATATCTGCATCAGCCGATATCCAGGGTTCCACTGTATAATACAGGTACATTAGGTTCCCAACCTATGATCAACTGAGTTCTGAACATCCGCAATTACGATTGAGGTACTTTGGAATTAATGATTTTTTTATGAATGTTGATCTACATGTGACATGAACGCTGCAAACATTCCAACAGAATTTTTTTACCATTATTTTTTCACCACATGCATTCGTATTTCATGGGGGTCTCTTGGGTTGTGGTGCAGCCACGTCTCATATGTGATAAACGGTTGACGTGTGGTAGCTCAGCTTACTCATGACACAACTCCTCAAACACTACAGCTGAAGCAAGCAATTACCTTCACCACTACCCTCTTACGTCATATGCCCAGGCACTTACTATCGACACCATAACAACAAGATGATGAGTATATGAAAAATGTACTGTCAGATACAATCGGAGGAAGGGAATGGCAAAGAGGGAGGTAGTAACGTGTCCCAGATGTAGTGAGAGAGATGGTAGGCATAAATGGGAGATTTAGAGAAAGGGCATGCAAGATAAGAAAGGATGTTAGAGAATGATAAAGGAAATAAGAGGAAAAAAAAACAAGGAGGAAGGAATGGGAAGCAAAAGGGGAACTCATGTGTTAACCACTGTTTTCAATTTTATTGTAAAAATTAATAAATTCAGATACAGAATATTATGTTTGGAAACACAATTATAACTTCAGTATCTATGGGAAAATAGGGTTCAGACACACATCATAAAAAATCTCAAAAGTATATCAGCATTATAACTGAGATTTACTAATTTTAAGAAATGGAGACTAAACAATAATACTGAACATATCAGCCATAACTTTTCTATTCTAATTTCATTGAGGTCAAAAATAATAGCTCAACTGAAAAATGTTAAGCGAAATATATATAAAACCTAAAAATTATTTAATCATATAAGTACAAGAGTGATATTTATGGTCATGTACCTAAGTAGTGTATATTCTACAGAATAGTCTTCAGCTCTCCCACGTGAAATTAGATTTAACAGAAAAACAAACACTTACTGAAGGACGGCTTGAGTAAGAAAAAGATCCACTTCTGAGGGATAGCCTCTTAATAAATGTAGTTCAACCAGCATGTCTGCACACCCTCCTCCATCCTCAGACCTTAGGTAGTGGTATCGTGCTGACCCATAGTTTTTCTCTATACATTAAAGTATTATTAATATCAAATATAGAACACAATAAAAAATACTAGTAAAATATAAAATAAGAACTAGCATGGGCCAACATGCCTCATTCATATAAAGGTGCTCAGAGGTTCTTGTTTCATTTTTCACTGATATTTTTTCATACCTGCAGTGACATGTTTTATTGTTATTTTTTACATACAACACTATAAACAGTTTGTGCATAGTCATGATGCCAGAAAAAAAAAAAAATTTATAGTTAGGTTATGTAAATGAAGCAATATGACACTTACCACTGAAGTTAATACTTGCTTAAATGCCCTCTCGTGCTTCAGGCAGTCTTTAAGCTATCAAAGAATGCTGTCAAATAAATTCTGAAGAGTGATAGGTGAGAATGAAGCCCATTTGTCTTTAACAGATGCTTGTAGCTCTAGGATGGATGATGTGTCACAGTCCCTTAGGTGACATTTCATACATGACCACAAAATTTCTATTGGGTTTAGGTGGGAGCTATTATTACCTCACCAGTCATTAAAATAGGGCACCTCACAATTATTTAACCACATTTTGACATTTCTGGCAGTGTGGCAAGGAGCAGTGTCTTGCATAAAGAGTGCTGCTTTGCCCTTTTCCAAGGAATCATGTAAACAGTCCATTAAAATCTCCAAATAATTGTTATGATTCATTATGACATTTTTGGGTAGTATTACTAATTCCCAAACACATTCATAAGTGAAACATCTCCCGCACCATGAGGGATGCAGGATGTTTCAGTCTTGGCAGTGTACTGTGGGAGGTGTAAGTCAAAATGAGGCATATGGTACACACTTCCTATACCATGATCAGTCATTGTCAAAGTTGATTTATCTGACTACATAACTCTCCTCCACTCCTCCAAACTCAAAGTATTCCTCGCAAAACTTTACTTTATTCTCCTTTTGCCACAATGTAAGGAGAGGTTTACTGTGGGCACAAAAGCTTTTAAATTTCAAGTCATCGAAAAGTGATTGATTGAGACACCTGGGGAACACGATCCAATAACTAAGGATTTTTCTCCTTCACTTCCCATGCTGCGATGGGTGGATTTACCCTATCTTGACAAGTAATCATTTTCAGTCCATGGGGAGATTAATTTAGGCATAACAATCTTGGGAAGAGGGACTGGAATATGGGTCTCTGCCTGGCCATGAAAATGTTTGATGAGACGTGGCACTAAATGAAATTTCAGTTGTGTTTCAGCAGAAATAAGTGTGCACACTGGCCACTTTTTTGCAAGGCAATCACAGCCGATATATCCTCCATATTTGTACTTTCCCTGGAAATTATTGTTGGTCACAAGAGAGGAGATGGTTAGTAACTGCACAGTGATGAAAATATAGGCTACCAATGTGTGCATAAAAAAAAAAAAAATCTCACCCTCACAATAATCAGAATGTTATGAAGTGAATCTCATGACATATGCTGCATTGTCAAGTATTTATACAGTATGGCCAGATGAATGACTAAATATTTTGCATTCCACGAGACATGTATAATTTATTTTTAACATGCTGGCCGTCTCCCACCGAGGCAGGATGACCCCAAAAAATGAAAACAACTTTCACCATCATTCACACTATCACTGTATTGCAGAGGCGCACAGATACAACAGTTTACATGTCCCTCTAAACAGCAAGTATCCCAAACCTCTCCTTTCAAGTGCTAGCATTGTACTTCCCACCTCTGAGACTCAAGTCCAGCTAACTGGTTCCCCTGAATCCCTTCACAAATTATTACCTAGTTCACAATCCAACAGCTCATCAAGTCCCAAAAACCATTTGTCTCCACTCACTCCTCTCTAACATGCTCACACATACAAAATTAATTATGCAAAGATGTGACATTAGCCTACTGGTGCCATAACTTCACACAAGACTGAACAAAACTTTTAAATAAATATAAGTGCTTAAGTTTCAAAACCCAGTGTAGTTTTAAGAATCTCTCTCAACAACAATTGGCTCATCCAATACAATAACCTTATTATTATATAGCCAGAAATTTACTATAAAGATAGGGGACTGGACTGTAACTATATAGTTCCCATTTTTTTTTTTTTCAACAAGTCGGCCGTCTCCCACCGAGGCAGGGTGACCCAAAAAAGAAAGAAAATCCCCAAAAAGAAAATACTTTCATCATCATTCAACACTTTCACCACACTCACACATTATCACTGTTTTTGCAGAGGTGCTCAGAATACAACAGTTTAGAAGCATACACATAAAGATACACAGGAGCTGAGTCTCGACCCCTGAAACCACAACTAGGTGAGTACACACACCCACTCATTCACACAGCTGATCCTTGGAATTTGACCGCATCCCCTCACCCCCCCACACACCTTTCCCTCCCCCACAGACCTTTCCCCTCCCCCGCTCTTGCCTTCACTCCCTCCTATCTTTCTCTCTCCCCTCCCTCGTGTTTCTCTCTCTCATAGCCTTTTTCCCTCCCTTTCCCCTACTCTTTCTTTCTCTCTCTCCCTCTCTCTCTTTCTCTCACTTCCCTCTCCTCTCTCTCTCTCTCTCTCTTCTTCTCTCTCATCTCTACAGGTTCTCTCTCCTTCTCCCTTTTTCCATATTTCTACCCCTCCCTCGCATTTCTCTCTCTCATAGCCTTTTCCCTCACCCTCCTTTCTCTGTCTCTGTCTCTCTGTCTCTCTCTTCTCTCTCTCTTTCTCTACCCTTTCTCTCCCCCCTCACATTTCTCTCTCTCTTTCTTTCTCTCCCTCTCTCTCTCTCACTCTCTCCCCCCCCCCTCTCTCTCTCTCTCTCTCTATAGGCTTCTCTCTCCATCTCCCTTTTTCTATATTTTCTACCCCTCCCTCGCATTTCTCTCTCTCATAGCCTTTTCCCTCACCCTCCTTTCTCTGTCTCTCTCTCTCTCTATAGGCTTCTCTCTCCATCTCCCTTTTCTATATTTCTACCCCTCCCTTGCATTTCTCTCTCTCATAGCCTTTTCCCTCACCCTCCTTTCTCTGTCTCTCTCTCTCTCTCTATAGGCTTCTCTCCCAATCTCCCTTTTTCTATATTTCTACCCCTCCCTTGCATTTCTCTCTCTCATAGCCTTTTCCCTCACCCTCCTTTCTCTGTCTCTCTCTCTCTCTCTCTCTCTCTCCCTCTCTCAACCCTTTCTCTCCCCCCTCACATTTCTCTCTCTCACCCTTGGTCTTATCCCTCACCCCCATACTCTCTCCTCTCTCTCCCTCTTTCTACCCTTTCCCTCTCCTCTCTCTCCCTCTTTCTACCCTTTCTCTCTCCCCCTTGCACCCTCTCCCTCCTCTAACCTTCTGTCTGTGGTAAAAAAAAAAAAAAAAAAAAATGGGTGGCTCTAGAGGACGGAAAACCAGAGATCTGGTAGACAAACCAGGCAGGAAAGACTGGGAGTTAGAGCTCCAAAAAAGGGAGGAAGAGTGGGGAAGGAAGATAGTAGAGCTTGGTAAGAAAATGGAGGAGCGGATAGCTGAGGAGTGCAGGAAGTGGGAAGTACAGGTCTTAGCAGCAGAAGCTAGGATACAGTGCTTAGAAGAGAAACTGCAAAGCCTGAAACAGATTAGAGAGACAAATGACAATTCAGATGTGACATCAGGCGCAGACAAGGGGACGGTAAGCAACAACGGAGACATGCCGTACGCGAAGGCCTTATCAGACCCACGTGGGGCCAGGGAAAAGACGAGGAGTACACTAAGATCAAATGACAGGTCCGAAGACAATGAAGGTATGCTATATGCAGAGATTCTAACAGCCAACTGCAGTAGCAAGGGACAGCTGGTCATGAAAGACAGTTCACTGAGAATAGAAGTTCCAGATATGACAGGGACTGAAGGCAAGAACATGTCAATGGAAGGAAATAAAATGCTTCAGAGGAAGCAGATGGAGACTCAGTGGGAGGAGGACAGGGCAAGGTCAGTTTTTGTGTACGGGCTCCAAGAAGCCAAGGGGGACAACTTTGAAGAAATAAAACAGGAGGAGAAAAAAATGATTGAAGGCATCATGAAAACAATAGGTGAGGGCGATATGACCCAGGTGACAAATTTTCAGAGAATTGGGTGGTTTGCGAGTGGAAGGATACGGCCTGTCAAAGTAATTTTCAAGGAAGAATCAGTTCGAACCAGGATTCTGCAAGAGAAAGCAAGACTGAGGGACAAACAGGGGTACCAGAGAGTATACCTCGACCGCGACAGAACACAAGACGAAAGGACTACACTGAAAGAGAGGGTACAGAGACGCAAGGAGGAACGAGAGGCAATGACGAAGATGAGCAGGACCCAGACACAGGAGGAAGGGCAAACACACCCCACAGAATCTCCCACCAAAAGACTCCAACCACGACATTCCCAACGCAACTGAGCAACCTATACTACAACCCACTCACTGTTCCCTCTGCCACCAACCCCCATATCACAAACCTCACCCCAACAGCTGTCCCTTATGGGCATTCTGACCCCACCCCCATCATCACAAACCCCACCTACACCACAGCCCCATATAGGCCCCCCACCAAGGCTCTCGCTCCCCCAACCCCAATATTCTTGCATGACCACAATGATAGAAAAGAAACTGAAAGTTTGGTACACAAACGCGGATGGAATAACGAATAAACATGAGGAGTGGAACGAAAGAATCAGTGAAAAATCCCCAGACATCATAGCAGTCACAGAAACAAAACTCGCTGAGACAATAACAGACACAATCTTCCCAATGGGATATCAGATCCTGAGGAAAGATAGGAGTAGAGGGGGAGGAGGGGTTGCACTGCTCATAAAACACCGATGGGGATTTGAGGAAATGGAAGGCATGGACATGATTGGAGAAAGAGACTACATTGTAGGTACAATTCAGTCCGGAGAACATAAAGTAGTCATTGGAGTGATGTATAACCCACCACAGAACTGCAGGAGGCCAAGAGAGGAGTATGAAGAAAACAACAGGGTGATGGTGGACACACTGGCTGAGGTGGCAAGAAGAGCTCACTCGAGCAGAGCAAAGTTACTGGTAATGGGCGATTTCAACCACAGGGAGATCGACTGGGAAAACCTGGAGCCACATGGGGGTCCCGAAACATGGAGAGCCAAGATGATGGATGTGGTACTTGAAAACCTCATGCATCAACATGTCAGGGACACAACCAGAGAGAGAGGGGAGGATGAGCCAGCAAGACTGGATCTTGTGTTCACCCTGAGCAGTTCAGACATTGAGGACATCACTTACGAGAGGCCCCTTGGAGCTAGCGATCATGTGGTTCTGAGTTTTGATTATATAGTAGAGTTACAAGTGGAGAAGGTAACAGGAACTGAAGGGGTCAGGCCAAACTATAAAAGGGGGGACTACACAGGTATGAGAAACTTCCTGCAGGAGGTTCAGTGGGACAGAGAAATGGTAGGAAAACTCAGTAAACGAGATGATGGAATATGTGGCAACAAAGTGCAAGGAGGCAGAGGAAAGTTTTGTTCCCAAGGGAAACAGAAATAATAGGAAGACCAAAACGAGTCCTTGGTTTACCCGAAGGTGTAGGGAGGCAAAAACTAAGTGCAACAGAGAATGGAAAAGGTACAGGGGCATAGGACCCAGGAAAACAAGGAGATTAGTAGAAGAGCCAGAAACGAGTATGCACAGATAAGGAGGGAGGCCCAGCGACAGTATGAAAACGACTTAGCATCGAAAGTCAAATCTGACCTGAAACTGCTGTATAGCCACATTAGGAGGAAGACAACAGTCAAGGACCAGGTGATAAGGCTGAGGAAAGAAAGTGGAGAACTCACAAGAAACGATCAAGAGGTATGTGAGGAGCTCAACATGAGATTTAAGGAAGTATTTACAGTAGAGTCAGGAAGGACTCTGGGGGGACAGACCAGATGGGGACACCAGCAAGGAATACACCAACAAGTGTTGGACGACATACATACAGATGAGGAGGAGGTGAAGAAACTGCTAAGGGACATCGATACCTCAAAGGCAATGGGACCGGACAACATCTCCCTGTGGGTCCTTAGAGAGGGAGCAGATATGTTGTGCGTGCCACTTACCACAATCTTCAACACGTCCCTGGAAACTGGGCAACTACCTGAGGTATGGAAGACGGCAAATGTAGTTCCCATTTTTAAAAAAGGAGACAGAAAAGAGGCACTAAACTATAGACCTGTGTCATTGACGTGTATAGTATGCAAAATTATGGAGAAGATTATCAGGAGGAGAGTGGTGGAGCACCTGGAACGGAACAAGAGTATAAATGCCAACCAGCACGGATTCATGGAAGGCAAATCCTGTGTCACAAACCTTCTGGAGTTTTATGATAAAATAACAGAAGTAAGACACGAGAGAGAGGGGTGGGTTGATTGCATCTTCTTGGACTGCAAGAAGGCCTTTGACACAGTTCCTCACAAGAGATTAGTGCAGAAGCTAGAGCATCAGGCGCATATAACAGGAAGGGCACTGCAATGGATCAGAGAATACCTGACAGGGAGACAACAACGAGTCATGGTACATAATGATGTATCACAGTGGGCACCTGTGACGAGCGGGGTCCCACAGGGGTCGGTCCTAGGACCAGTGCTATTTTTGGTATATGTGAATGACATGATGGAAGGGTTAGACTCAGAAGTGTCCCTGTTTGCAGATGATGTGAAGTTAATGAGGAGAATTAAATCTGATGAGGACCAGGCAGGACTTCAAAGAGACCTGGACAGACTGGACACCTGGTCCAGCAAATGGCTTCTCGAATTTAATCCTGCCAAATGCAAAGTCATGAAGATAGGGGAAGGGCACAGAAGACCACAGACCGAGTATAGGCTAGGTGGCCAAAGACTGCAAACCTCACTCAAGGAGAAAGATCTTGGGGTGAGTATAACACCGAGCATGTCTCCGGAAGCACACATCAACCAGATAACTGCTGCAGCATATGGGCGCCTGGCAAACCTGAGAACAGCATTCCGATACCTTAGTAAGGAATCGTTCAAGTCACTGTACACCGTGTATGTCAGGCCCATACTGGAGTATGCAGCACCTGTTTGGAACCCGCACTTGATAAAGCACGTCAAGAAACTAGAGAAAGTACAAAGGTTTGCGACAAGGTTAGTTCCAGAGCTAAGGGGAATGTCCTATGAAGAAAGATTAAGGGAAATCGGCCTGACGACACTGGAGGACAGGAGGGTCAGGGGAGACATGATAACGACATATAAAATACTGCGTGGAATAGACAAGGTGGACAAAGACAGGATGTTCCAGGGAGGGGACACAGAAACAAGAGGCCACAATTGGAAGTTGAAGACACAAATGAGTCAGAGAGATATTAGGAAGTATTTCTTCAGTCATAGAGTTGTAAGGCAGTGGAATAGCCTAGAAAATGACGTAGTGGAGGCAGGAACCATACACAGTTTTAAGACGAGGTTTGATAAAGCTCATGGAGCGGGGAGAGAGAGGGCCCAGTAGCAACCGGTGAAGAGGGGCCAGGAGCTAAGACTTGACCCCTGCAACCACAAATAGGTGAGTACAAATAGGTGAGTACAACATATCCCTCCAAACTGCCAATATCCCAAACCCCTCCTTTAAAGTGCAGGCATTGTACTTCCCATTTCCAGGACTCAAGTCCGACTATATGAAAATAGTTCCCATATCTTCATGAAATGTAACACACAATTTTATGTAACATGCTAAACCTGAGGAATATAACCCCATATAATCAGACAATTTGCTGCAATTTTCAAGCAGAATATGGGATCAAATTCTACACACACAAATATATAAATAGATGGGAACTCATTTTAAGTTAGCGCTCTTCACTAGATTTATACTGTATCTTGTTTTTTGTGTGTGTTGCTGCTGAGCACAAAAACCATCAAGGAAAGTATAAGGGTTAACTGGGCTGCAATAAGAGTACGTATAAGAGGGACAAGGTAGTACAACAACGATGAAAAAAAAAAAGCAGATTGCTTGCTATAAATTAATTTCTAAGCATCAACCTAGATTTACCCTTCCATAGTGTCTGTGCAAGAAGTTGATGTAGTCTTGGGTGGCCTAGCTTGTGTCTCTCTCCACATGACCATTTTACTGCTCGAACGAGGTACTGATGACGTTCAGGTGTGCCATGGTTCAACAGACTGAATAAACTGTAAAAATAATGTCCTACAGTTTAGTATTACAGCATATACAATACTTGATTTTCATTTACCACATACTGACCACAGTAAGTGAATCTTTGTTAAAACTACAATATATAACTACTGTAACACAAGACCATTACCTGGAATCAAGGCATGTAACAATTATGATACAGGATACTTGATTTGCTGTCAAAATATATGTCAAAAAATAGAGCAGAGGATGGACCCCACTTATACAGCAGGTTAGGTTCACGAATACAGCTGTAAAGCAAATCATAGCCTTTATTCACTTTCAAATGCATATAAAAGCCTGATAATATGTTTTCCCTATAATATATTAAGTAAACAAAAATAGGTAAATCACTCGCAAACCTGTTTAAATTATTTTTTAAGAATGTGTTTTGTTTGCTAATTGCATATACAAATTAGGTGTGTGAAATGTGTAAGAAATTGCAAGTGGTAGTGCATGAAACTGATATTCAATCTCTTGGATGTGACAATAATAAATGCATTCAACAAGTACCCTACGTAAATAAGAAATAAAGTGAACTTACGACAATTTCACTTAGATGTTATTAGGAAAATTCTAAAAACAAACCAACAGCTCTGACCCACAACAGGTGAGCACTGTAGTGCCACAAATGATTATTCTACACTTTGGGGTAAACAATTAGCCAAACACAATCCTCCTACAACAAACAAGAAAGCTTGACAGAATTTGAGTTCTAGAACTTTAAATGTTAGTAGACAGAGTTAAATTAAATTCTTGCCTTATAGGGACTAGTGGAAACCCCAGTTGGGAGAGAAAATACTAGATTAGTAGCATGACTCAGTACAGACTGAAGTCTTTATAAACAAGTAATCAAGCAAACTCACAAATAAACAATTGGAGAAATCAATTCAAGAGGAAACAAATGTATGGATAAGGACCAAGATACTCTGTGTATCAAGATATTTCCTGACTCCATAAAAATAATGAATAAAAAAAATACACAAGATTTAGAAATGTTTTCTTTTTTCTTTTTACATGCTGGTCGTCTCCCAGTGAAGCAGGGCGATCCAAAAAACACTTTCACTATCATTCACACTATCACTGTTTTGCCAGAGCTGTGCAGTCTAGATGTCACTCTAAACAGCAAATATCCCAAACCCCTCCTTTAGAGTGCATGCACTGTACTTCCACTATCAGGACTCAAGTCCTACAGGCTGCAAATAGACAATACCACTATTTAACCCTTAAACTATCCAAAGGTACCTCTACATTTGTACTGTTAGCGCTCCAAATGTAGATCTACGTTTTATTTTTCCTGCCTCTAAATTTGGCATGACTGGCCTGAGAGGCCTGGTCAGTATAGAATGGGTCTTAACGCTTGGTGTGCACAGTATTAAAAAAATCTGGGACCACTTAGTACTTTGTGGGAACACCAGTTCAACTGAGTGCCAGCTAGAGCAAACAGGGTGGCAAACACCAGGGATTCACTGATGTCATGTTGTATTAACACTCCCCTTTTAAGAGGAAAGTGATGGATGTGGCCACAAGTGGTCGAGGAAATATCAAAAACCTCAATAATAACCTATACGTAACATTCGTGAAACATCCTTTCATTTCTTATACCAATGATAGTGTCATTCTGCCAGAATGTCCTATAACCTATACCCTAAGTAAAGAGAAACAACTCTGGAACGTGTGTAATACGTATTCAGCAGGCTGGCCGGCTGGCTGGCTGCCTTTGACTGTCTATCTGTCTGTATCTGCCTATATCTCTGTCTATATCTTTTTTTTTTCTTTTTTCAACAAGTCGGTCGTCTCCCACCGAGGCAGGGTGACCCAAAAATGAAAAAAAATCCCCAAAAAGAAAATACTTTCATCATCATTCAACACTTTCACTACACTCACACATTATCACTGCTTTTGCAGAGGTGCTCAGAATACAACAGCTTAGAAGCATATACGTATAAAGATACACAACATATCCCTCCAAACTGTAAATATCCCAAACCCCTCCATTAAAGTGCAGGCATTGTACTTCCCATTTCCAGGACTCAAGTCCGACTATATGAAAATAACCGGTTTCCCTGAATCCCTTCATTAAATATTACCCTGCTCACACTCCAACAGATCGTCAGGTCCCAAGTATCAATCGTCTCCATTCACTCCTATCTAACACGCTCATGCACGCTTGCTAAAGTCCAAGCCCCTTGCCCACAAAACCTCCTTTACCCCCTCTTTCCAACCCTTTCGAGGACGACCCCTACCCCTCTTTCCTTCCCCTATAGATTTATATGCTTTCCATGTCATTCTACTTTGATCCATTCTCTCTAAATGACCAAACCACCTCAACAACCCCTCTTCTGCCCTCTGACTAATGCTTTTATTAACTCCACACCTTCTCCTAATTTCCACACTCCGAATTTTCTGCATAATATTTACACCACACATTGCCCTTAGACAGGACATCTCCACTGCCTCCAACCGTCTCCTCGCTGCTGCATTTACCACTCAAGCTTCACATCCATATAAGAGTGTTAGTACTACTATACTTTCATACATTCCCTTCTTTGCCTCCATAGATAACGTTTTTTGACTCCACATATACCTCAACGCACCACTCACCTTTTTTCCTTCATCAATTCTATGATTAACCTCATCCTTCATAAATCCATCCGCCGACACTTCAACTCCCAAGTATCTGAAAACATTCACTTCTTCCATACTCCTCCTCCCCAATTTGATATCCAATTTTTCTTTATCTAAATCATTTGATACCCTCATCACCTTACTCTTTTCTATGTTCACTTTCAACTTTCTACCTTTACACACATTCTCAAACTCATCCACTAACCTTTGCAATTTTTCTTTAGAATCTCCCATAAGCACAGTATCATCAGCAAAAAGTAACTGTGTCAATTCCCATTTTGAATTTGATTCCCCATAATTTAATCCCACCCCTCTCCCAAACACCCTAGCATTTACTTCTTTTACAACCCCATCTATAAATATATTAAACAACCATGGTGACATTACACATCCCTGTCTAAGACCTACTTTTACCGGGAAGTATTCTCCCTCTCTTCTACATACCCTAACCTGAGCCTCACTATCCTCATAAAAGCTCTTTACAGCATTTAGTAACTTACAACCTATTCCATATACTTGCAACATCTGCCACATTGCTCCTCTATCCACTCTATCATATGCCTTTTCTAAATCCATAAATGCAATAAAAACTTCCCTACCTTTATCTAAATACTGTTCACATATATGCTTCAATGTAAACACTTGATCTACACATCCCCTACCCACTCTGAAGCCTCCTTGCTCATCCGCAATTCTACATTCTGTCTTACCTCTAATTCTTTCAATTATAACCCTACCGTATACTTTTCCTGGTATACTCAGTAAACTTATTCCTCTATAATTTTTACAATCTCTTTTGTACCGTTTCCCTTTATATAAAGGGACTATACATGCTCTCCGCCAATCTCTAGGTACCTTCCCCTCTTTCATACATTTATTAAACAAAAGTACCAACCACTCCAACACTATATCCCCCCCTGCTTTTAACATTTCTGTCATGATCTCATCAGTTCCAGCTGCTTTACCCCCTTTCATTCTACGTAATGCCTCACGTACCTCCACCACACTTGCATTCTGCTCTTCTTCACTCCTAAAAGATGGTATACCTCCCTGGCCAGTGCATGAAATTACCGCCTCCCTTTCTTCCTCAACATTTAAAAGTTCCTCAAAATATTCTCACCATCTACCTAATACCTCCCTCTCCCCATCTACTAACTCCCCTACTCTGTTTTTAACTGACAAATCCATACTTTCCCTAGGCTTTCTTAACTTGTTTAACTCACTCCAAAATTTTTTCTTATTTTCATTAAAATTTCTTGACAGTGCCTCTCCCACTCTTTCATCTGCTCTCCTTTTGCACTCTCTCACCACTCTCTTTACCTTTCTTTTACTCTCCATATACTCTGCTCTTCTTATAACACTTCTGCTTTGTAAAAACCTCTCGTAAGCTACCTTTTTCTCTTTTATCACACCCTTTACTTCATCATTCCACCAATCACTCCTCTTTCCTCCTGCCCCACCCTCCTATGACCACAAACTTCTGCCCCACATTCTAATACTGCATTTTTAAAACTATTCCAACCTTCTTCAACCCCCCCACTACTCATCTTTGCACTAGCCCACCTTTCTGCCAATAGTCGCTTATATCTCGCCCGAACTTCCTCCTCCCTTAGTTTATACACTTTCACCTCCTTCTTACTTCTTGTTGCCACCTTCCTCTTTTCCCATCTACCTCTTACTCTAACTGTAGCTACAACTAAATAATGATCCGATATATCAGTTGCCCCTCTATAAACATGTACATCCTGGAGCCTACCCATCAACCTTTTATCCACCAATACATAATCTAACAAACTACTTTCATTACGTGCTACATCATACCTTGTATATTTATTTATCCTCTTTTTCATAAAATATGTATTACTTATTACCAAATCTCTTTCTACACATAGCTCAATTAAAGGCTCCCCATTTACATTTACCCCTGGCACCCCAAATTTACCTACTACTCCCTCCATAACATTTTTACCCACTTTAGCATTGAAATCCCCAACCACCATTACTCTCACACTTGATTCAAAACTCCCCATGCATTCACTCAACATTTCCCAGAATCTCTCTCTCTCCTCTACACTTCTCTCTTCTCCAGGTGCATACACGCTTACTATAACCCACTTTTCACATCCAATCTTTATTTTACTCCACATATTCCTTGAATTTATACATTTGTAGTCCCTCTTTTCCTGCCCTAGCTTATCCTTCAACATTATTGCTACTCCTTCTTTAGCTCTAACTCTATTTGAAACCCCTGACCTAATCCCATTTATTCCTCTCCATTGAAACTCTCCCACCCCCTTCAGCTTTGTTTCACTTAAAGCCAGGACATCCAGTTTCTTCTCATTCATAACATCCACAATCATCTCTTTCT